ATTTTAAGCGGATTAGTTGCCATGCAAACTTATTAGGGTGCTTTCCACTTGCGATCCTTCAAAGTGCACTATCTCGACCGTTGAAGTCAGTGTCCTCTGTATGTGATACACAATGATGATCAAAGAAGAAGAAGACAAAAGAGAAAAAGATTGGGAGTGGCCGTTGTTTAGTTAGTGGGTGTGTGCACAATCACATATAATACATCAAATGTTATATTTTTTACCGACTGAGCACCCATTATAGCCCCGATCAAGTAGTATAATCAAATCTCATGTAGATTTGAACCCGCGACTCTTGCCTCCTCGTTTATGCGGCGCCTATGCAAGCAATGAAGAAGTATTAAATTTAGTTGTGAGCACGCCTTCTTTACACAACAAGCGGCAGGATTTCGTTACTGTGCGATGTTTTAATGCGCAGTCTTTACTCTTAAATCCGTTCAGATCGTTTTAAGAATAATTTCTTTAGCATTGCAATGAAAAATATTTAATTAGAAGGTTTCGCTTTAAGATACAATTTTTTCTAATTAAATTTAACTATGCATTATCTGTTTCGAAAGACAATTTCCCCCAACCCCCTACTCTGGATTAAATGTTGTTTCGTATAAATACAGGTAATTACATGCATGCGAAACCTTTTATTGACGTCAGTCATTGATAAACATGAGCATAGCCAAAGTAAGTATCTTTCCATGAAAGAAGCATTTAAAAAACCATTTATTTAACTCTTGTATACGTTTTATTTAAAAAAAAAAAAAAAAAAAACACATTCTCTCAGTTGTAGACTGTCAGTCCGTAGTGGTAGAAAAAAGTCCAACATATTTTTACTGCTTAATAGCTATCTTTACTACTTAATAGCTATGGAATCGTTAAGTCTCAGTTACTGTAATACTCCCACGCAATGTGTGATAAATACTTGCTTGCAGTTACGCGTAGAACAGAATAGTGAAAAGGAATACAAACAATAGGGCCGTAATTATAATTATATTTTAATAGCTTACGAGGTGGTTGAAGCTAGCTTTTTATAAACAGCTTGGCTTTTCACATTCCTTTTTTATTTTTATTTTTTATTTTTTTTTTATTCTGCATAGCAATCAACACAGCTACACTTAACTACATATCCACAAAAGACAAAAAAAAAAAAAAAAAAAAGTAGACAAGCAAGAAAGAAATAGTCGCGTTGAGTAGAATTTCGAAACCCTTGTGATTGCGGGCAGTAGGCGAAATCGATTTCTTTGATCAATAGCGACACAAAGAAGCCCGATGCACGAATTTTGCAATACCTGATCGCGAATTGTCTTTGTACTGTGAATCTGATCGTTCTGCCTTTGCATTAGCTTTTTGCATTAGCGATAGCTTTCTGTAGGTAGAGACAGACGTTTCCGTCTTTCCGACGGATGTCGGCATTTTTTCTGCGCTCTTTATTATCATAGGGTGACTGTTCGTCTTCACCGCTTATAATTTGCATATATTTTCTTTCGAATTAAACGAAAAAAAGTATCCTTTCCTTCTTCTTTTCACATAACTCTACGTACTTCAGGACAAAAGAAAATCTTGCACGTACTCTGTGTTGTTCACAATACTTTCCCATATCTTCCAGTCCCGTCTAGTAGGACTACTATGATTGTTCCCTGAATCCAAACTTAATTAAACGGAAAATAGTTTTATGGCTGTTAGGCCCATAGAAATTTGAACGAACTTATTTTAAAGCTTAATGTTTTCCACCTTAATATTGATGAGTTTCAGTACCATTTGAGAGATGTGGACGTAGAAACGGGGAAAAAATGTTCTTGTCTTTAGAAGTACACGCGGTAGACACTTGCGCAGTAAGGGTTTATTTTCATGTTGCGTGAACAGCACAAATTGAACTATGAGTTACCCAAAGTGTGTCGAAAACTAACTTAACTCGCACCTATTGCGGACCTTATAACATAAGCCGCTTTTTTACACTTGGCTGGAGATAAAATCTGAGATCGCTTTGTACGAACCAAGCATTCAGCAGCACCGAAATTTCATATCCATCTCTGTAAACCTTAATAGTGCTTAATAGTGAATCTCCAAGCGTCCTTAGTCATTATTAAGTGATTTTCCTTTAAAGCAAATGGCTTTCCCTTGATTTTCGCTCCTCTGAGGTTCAAGTCGGTTAAAGTCGGAAAAAGTCTATTAATTGCAAATACTATAGGATATGAACACTTCTGTTTTTGTAGAGACCCTATTAAGTATAGAATTTTCGAACAAATCCCTATCATCCATAGCTGAATACAAACGTGCACGTGTGACTAGTAAATGCAACGTCGAATAAAGTTATGAACCTGATATAACTGATAGGGACACCTCATCAAAAGTGTATATGTGCGTGTGCAGACATGATTAAAAATCTAAACCCCTTATTAACAAATCCGCTATTTTAACAAAGTATTGTTGTATTTCACGTGAACGAGTAGGCGATATGCTCGTGTACATATATGTGTGTGTTTGTGTATCTGCATATTTAAATAAAAATGCATTATTATTGGTGGTGTAAATACATATTGAATTTTTTTTTTTTTTTTTTTCAATAGATTTCCATTGTTGTTGAATAGCTGCATGTGTGTGTAATTTACAAATTTGCGGTTTTATTGTTGTGGGGGTTTTTAAAATTTTAATTACAACAATTATATATCAATGAAAGTTCGTTGAATATTATCATTGCCCACCATTATTATATGCCATTGGCAAATGTACACAGAACAGAGAAAAAAAAACAAAAAAAAAAAAAAACAAAAAAACACAGAAAATAGACAAGTCCACATACTAACTTAAACATGCTAACATAAATACTCTAAAGATTATTTCTGTTTTGTTGTTGTTGTTATTGTTGTTGTTGTTATTTTTCTCCTCTTTTTTTTTTTATTGGTGTTGGTATATATTGAACTTTATTTAGAATAGGAAAATGAACTGACCTAAAAACAGAGCAACACAGAGCTCACAAACATACGCAAACATTCATACGCAAGCATAACCAACAACAATAATTCATAGGCATAGAGACTTTAAATACGTAAATATTTGAGGTCATTTTTGCAGTTGAGAGCAATTTTTTATTGAATTTTTATCCATTTAAGTTCTTTAAACACTAGCACAATACAAAAGTGTGCTAATCACATCATTCTTTTTGGTACCATGTCCAAATATTCTTCTACAGCGTACTATATATTGCACACAAAACGAAAGAAGAAAAGTCGATGTCCTTCCTATTGCCTAGAGGCACGGTCGCATGAGAGAAAAGAATTCTAGTTCAAAAAAACTGAAATATTGCCCTAAAGAAACTAGAATTCTTTAGTTTTAGGAAATGTACTTATACTTAGGCGAACGCAAAAAAACTATCACTTTGACTACTTATGTCGTCTGGTTCTAATTTCTTTTTTTCCGTCTTCTCTTAACGTGTTCTTAGGTGACGGGATTCTTTTTTTTTTTAAATTAACTACAAAAATAATTATTGCGGTTGAAAACATCTTTATACAGCAAAAATACAATGATTTGTATGAAAATTTTAGGGAAAATATCATTATGGAAATGTGTTCATACGGTTCAATTAAATATGATTGACAGCAAGGGAGGTTGAGGACATGGAGGCAGGATACAAAGATATAGGGCGAGAGACATAAAAAGAGAGAGAGATGCAGATATAGGAGAAGAGAGAGATACAGATAGAGGGAGTGAGATAATGATAGAGGGGTACAGAAGGCGAAAGGGATTGAGAGATAGATAGCGAGAGAGAGACAGAGACAGAGAGAGAAGAAGTGAGGGATACAGACAAAGGGAGTGAGGTGCAAATAGAAACAAGTAGACGTAGACAGAGATTGGGAGAGAGAGAGAGAGAGAGAGAGAGACAGAGAAAGAGAGAGAGAAAGAGAGAGAGAGAGCGAGCGAGAGAGAAACCAATCAATGTCAACTAATCTGAAAGCTCAAAGCAATTTACAAGGGAGAGCGAGAGAGATCCACACAGAGGGAGGAAGATATATATACGGATAAAGGGACATAGAGATAGAAAGAGAGACGAAGAGATTGACATAAAGAGAGAGAAAGAGAAGGAGAGCGAGAGAGAGAGTAACAGGACAACCAAGGTCAACTAATCTGAAAACTCAAAAAAGTTCATAATCCGAATCCCACATAACTCTTTAAACTTTTCTATTCCTTAATAACTTTCATAGTGTGGTCCCCATCGTTGTTAATTTCAATAAGTCAATTAATTATTAAATTATGGTATAAATGCAAAGAATTAAAGTTCATCTTTTAAATCAAGGAAATGCTTCAAAGCTTTCCCTTTTTGACTTTTCAATAGAAAAATGTTTTTATTGATTATTGGATTTGCAGCCTTTTGGGACAATTAAATGGACTCCCTTCACTTTCCCCTTTACAAATGTTTAGAAAAACAAAAATGGTATGTAAATTATATGCGTGTTCGACGAGATCGGTGAAAACCTAAAGATCTTAAAAGAGTTAAAATTGAAAGGGCATAAAATACAAAATCCAGATCCCAAGAGCTGAAATCATTTCTTGTATAAAGCGAGTAATAAACAGTCTTGTAATCGGCCTAGTGACATACTGACCTGCTACACACAAACACTTAACTTCTGTTGCGTACAATTCTGAATATCACAAAAGCCAATACCAAGCAAGTCCCTAATAAGCTAACTTCGCCCAACATAGAATAATTTCTAATTGATTATTATGAACCTGAACATCCAGATAAGCACTGCAAAGTCTTTACATATTTGTTTAAAGTTATGGTAGGCATTCGAGAAGTCGTCGCAAAGTGAGCATATATTGTCTATTTACTTGTTATGTAATTAATTTTAAATGTAAACAAATTCAATTTTAAAATAAATGCATACAAGAATACATACGTACATGTATTCATGTTCAAACTTATAAAAATAAATATAAATATTTGATGAAAATTTATGTTTTCTTTTTTATTTACTCATTTATTTATTTATTTATTTTATTTTTTTTTTTTGTAGGAAAAATGACTGGAAGACAATTTTAAGCCGTCTCATCATCTCTTAAACTAAGCTGAGAAGAAAATAATAACAATTCTTAACTTCTCATCTTATGAAAGCATTATAAGAGCTTATACACACTCTCTCTCTCTCTCTCTCTCTCTCTCTCTCTCTTGGATATTTGGATACGTCAAAGTAATGAAACGAGTATTATTATTATTACTTGCTAACATGTGTTACATTTTCTTACAGCATATTTGAGATGATTTTTCTTCTACAACAACGTAAAACGCAAAACTTCTGGCTGTTCTTCAACCTCCGAATCAATTTGTGCTAATGGATTAGGTCAAGATTAAAATAATCAGGACTGAGACTACGCTGTCAACAGAGAGATTCTTTTATCAAGAGGATAGTTATGGTGCAAAGCAAGCAGCATTATCTCACCGCGGTAATGGATAAAAATTTAACGGCCACGTGGACTTATTGATTAACAGATTCTAGTCTTTCTTCCTTTTGATATCTCGGAAAGATCGGAAAAAACTGACAGCAAGTCTTTCATTTATCTTGTTTAAAGGGAAAGGTAAAGTAAAATTTGTTATTATTCGAGCAATTGCTCTAGAGAGTGCCCCCCAAAAAGGCTGAATTTTAGCTTTCATTTCAGATGTTCATTGGTAAGCAGCAATCCTTAATATAATCCATATTGAAATTTGAAAAACAAAAAAAAAAAAAAAAAATCATTCTTTATAAACGCGCTCGATTTTATTGCACTTGGCTTCAAAAGTTATCTAAATGACGTGGCAATCGTGGAGTTTTACTATATTGGTCGCGTTATGGGGTGAGTTACTTAAATAATTCTTACCTAGAAAAATGTATTCAATTTTTTAATTGCATTATAAGACGACAATTTTAATAACGAATGCGTTTCTTCTAAACAGACGTCAGAGACATTGGCTTGGAAAAAAAAAAAAAAAAAAAAAAGAGGAAAAATGTGTCCACGTCGTGCACGTTAAGTTTCTTTTATTGCTTTTGGAAAACTGTCAAGGACATCGCGCTTATCAATTCAAGTAATCTTAATAACTATGCAACTAAGCCAAGTGCTCGGCAAAGTTTTATTAAGTGCTTTTAATTGTAACTTCATACTTTTCTATGTGTTATCTTAAAAACTTTTAATTACCTTGCTTTGTGGTTTATTGGCGGTGATTGAAGTAAAGTTTTGTTGCTGTTGTTATTGTTATTGTTGTTGTTGTTGTATTTCAAGTTTCCAACTAGAGAAACAAAATCGCTTTTCTAAGTACTAGTGCCGCAGGAGATGTTTACATTTAATATAGAACCTCCTGCTGCCCAAGTGCTTATCAAAGAGATTTAGTTGTCAACGTTCAAACGGTAATTGCGTATTATTAAAATGGTGAATGGTGTTTGCACATTCAAATGCCTTATCGTTTTCAATACAATTGGCTGAGATTTGTAAGAATTTAAGAATAAAAGGAAAGAAAAAAAAGGCAAAGCATTTCTCCAAAAGTATTCATAAAAAGTTAGTTTGATCTATCTATCCACCGCTAGATGGAGATAGATAAGATAAGCATTACAAAGCGATGTACAGCAATTAAGAAAACCCCAATTAGTTTACGTCAAATATTTAATATCAGCAATTGTTACTACTCGTAAAAGTTTAATGATTTGATTGTTTACAAAGTCTTCCAAGTTTTTCTAGTTTTATAAAAGCGACTGAGAAAATGTCACTGACTCAGTGTCGATCACTAAACAATCGCTATAGAAGCTTTGTGTATATTCGCTAAGAATGTGTATAGGCGCCCGAAAACGGCTTTAGGGAGAAATTTTTATTTATTTAAAAAAAAATTTTTTTTAATTAGTTGATTTTTTTTCTATTACAGGTCGAATTGCTTCTCTAACGTAACGCATTCTCCCCTTCAAGTCTTCTGCGACTGGCTGGCTAATGGCCGCCATTTTGAATATAAAAGAACACTGACTCCTATCCGCATGAAAGAGAATCACCCCTGACGACTCACTAGTCGCGCGGCAGAGTTTTCATTACAAGCGAGTTGCCATTGTTGCCTAATGGCACACGAGCTCTTTTTACAGGCAATAACCGACGACCTCAAGAAGTAGGACAATCTCCAATAAAGGGAGTCCTCTCCGTGTGGTATCGAAATAGGAAGTGGATATGAGCTATTTTGGCGTTATTTGACAAGTGTCGAGGTCTATCTACGATCTCATTGCTTAATGGCCCCACGAAATTGCAGGGTAACCCCATGTTATACAGCTCTGGGTGTTGTTTTACTATACGCAGCCGGAACCACGTATGCCGTCCATTCATACATCGCTGAAGGCCATCCGCCACAATATCACTTGTTCAGGAAGTAATTCATTCAAGGACGTCACCACACTTCACGCACACAACTATGCCTTGACTCTCGTACCATTAAAACTTGGGTAAGATTGATGTCCTCCGTGATAGAGAATTGAATGGGAGAAGAATTTGTCTTCTTTCCTCAGAAAAGAGAATCCTCTTAGGCTTTCAGGTCGCCGCGTAACTGAGCCGCTTACTATCGGATGTAATTTCTCTCTTTTTCGTCATGCTCTCAATAATTGAAAAGTCCTGGATATCTACGCAAACATTTAGTGCATTGCCTACGTTGCACTAGGTATAAACACTTCCCCTTCCAATTCCCCTTATCTTAAACTAATGAATGAATCCAAAAAAAATTACAAACCATACATACCTATACATATATGTATATATACATATATATATCACACAAAATGTTCCACTGTTCCACTTCGATTAACAAACAACTAATAATTAAGGAGAAAAATACAGTTTTTTTTTTAAGCAGATTTTTTTGCATTGCATTTCTATTTGCATCTTATTGCATATCATTGGGTACCAGCTTCGGAAGCGATGGCAAAAAAAAAAAATAATAATAATTCATATAAATTAACTAATTAAGTTATAAACAAAGTGGATTACGTTTTGTTCATAAATGCATGAGTTTACCCGGAAATTGCCGCATTATACGGAATGGTTTCGACTTAAGTAGCATCAAAGCATTTCGCGTGCTGTTTGAAACTTGCATGTAAATGTAAGTTTAACATTCATATACGTGTATATATATATATATATGCGTATATATGCATATGTAAGTAGTAAATCTGATTATGAAGAAATAAGGGCATCTCTCCGGTCATGTGTGTTCGTTTATGTTCATATATATTTATATAGTCATATATTATAGTTGGCATGGACAAGTGTCTGCCTTGGACTTAAGTGCGTATGTATAATTAAACGAAGCGAGTGTGTGCGCTTTCAAAAGTATAATTTTGATTGCATTGATTTATATATATATATATATATATATATGCAGTATATATATGAGTTGCTGGTATATTATTATGAGTTATGTTTTTGTACGAGAGCGTATAACTTTAGAGAATCAAATGTAAAGGATGTAAATGTTTTTCAAGTAACTCCGCCTAAAACAATTGTGCTAATGTATGTGCAGATTTATTTATTATATATTTTGTGATCAATTGCCAAACATTTAACAAGGTTTTGGCATTTAGCTTAAAGGTTTTCCACACAGTTTACCGTTCCTTGTTGATTATATTTTTACATCTTTCTCTCTCTCTCTCTCTCTCTCTCTCTCTCTCTCTCTCTCACGCACTTAATATTTCTTCACTATATATGTATGATGTATATACATGTATATTTGTATATATATTTGTGTATGTGCCTGCAGGCTTTTATGCATATATGTAAGCAAAATCAGACAATAATACACATAAGTATTATATACTCACACTAAAGATGTTGCTGATGACGATGGTATTGATAATGATGATGATAAGTTACACTGCTCAAGGATGCACTTAATTGCATTGTTGTAGCCACAACGACATCACTTTAATGTATGCATTGTGGTCGTAGTGGCCCAAATGTACACAAAAGCAAATAGAGAGCAGGAGGATGATATGTGTATGGTTGTATGTATGTATGTATGTGTGTGTGTGTGTGTGTGTGTGTGTGTGTGTGTGAAAACGGCAGTACGCTTAATTAACTTATAAACAAAATTTACATAAAAGAACGATGTGTGCCTACTTGTATATGCACATATGAAAATCTATTTACAAAATAATTAAGATAAAGCTTAAAAGAGAATGTGTATGGGCGTGGCACTATATAAATTAAAGTATCAAAGAACTGAAAGTGGAATTAAGTAAAGAAAACGTCCGGTGCCGTTATGCACACATGCAGCTAACTTAATACATGTATAAGACTATACATGGGAAAGGTATATGTGGCTACTGGTCGCGTAACGAAACTTGGATACATTAGCATATCCGGCAAACACATGAAAAATGTTAACTATTTTCATGCGTAGGCGTGTCAGCCGGTAAAACTCACTTTTCGCTATAAGTATGGGCTTCAGAGAGTCCGTGTAATCGCAGACTGTAAATTCTAATCATTTTTTTTCTTTCCTTTGTTGGTCGATTCGATGCTCATCATTAAATCTGAAATGAAGTTTGATTTTCGTCTAATTTTCTTTATTTTTGCAACCTTAACAATTTGAAGATAAAACGGCCATAAGTACGGACATAGATAAATTGTCTTGATGTCCGACACACAATTATTTTCTTGTTTTGAAAGATGATCGATTATGCCTTGCGAAGTGACAATTGAGATAACTGTTGTTGTATCTATTGTTTGAAGATTTTTTGCAATTGATTGGCGACTCTTTAAATCTTCCAACTTGATCCAACTTGATCTATTGAGAAAATTCTTCAGAGACTAGGACATATGTCAAATCCAGTTTATAGGTGGAACTCACCTTCAAAACGTTCTAGGCATTTCGATTGGTATGTGACATAATCACCCTTACGCTGATAAGCTCCGCGGTTGTTATTCCGAACGTATGGAATTTAGTCCTTATAGCGAAAGCCTAAAGTTATGATAATATTCAAAAAAAAAAAAAAAAACATATCGACGATGGTCACGTATAACTCGTATTTTCATTACATCAATGCATTTCAATATTTTTACCATTGAATTGAATAAGTGATACGATTGTGATGAAGAAAATTGCTTTCACCCTATGAGCTGGATATACAATAGTTTGTAAGATTTGCCTACAATAAGATCGTTCCTCAAGACACTTTAAACACTTAAGAATCGATTGCGATTCCCGCGAGCAGACATATTCCAAACATATTTCTTATTCGAAGTGTAATCAATTTTTTGCTATTTATTATAACTTGCAAGTAAAATGCCATACAATACAAGGTAATATATATGCGACATGATCCCCGCATTTTGAACGCAAGAGTACAAAAGAAACGTGATAAAACTTGCATCATAACAAAATCAAAGTTTACCACAGTAAATGCCAATTACTGACTTTTTAAACAACATTATCATCAGCGCTTTTGCGAACACGCGCTAAGACCAATTTAGATATTATAACCGCAAACGCAACGCAGTAAAATGTTTGTTTGACCCATTTACACGTATTTTGTAATATTACTTAAAAGTTTAATTTCATTAAACCACAAAGCAGACACCAAACATCAAACCAACAAACAAACAATACATACATACATGCATACAGCACAACGAACTATCTTGCACATAATATAATAACACTTATTACTTTACAAGAAATATCAGTAAACAGAAACTTATTTTATACTGGTGGCAGCGCAACAACATAAACCGATGCAAACAACAATGAATTGTGCATTGTGCGACGACATTGGCAGTGGCAGTGGCAATGGCCATTGCACTTAAGAAACTTCTCTACACACTTAAAGTAATAATATAGTGTGTGTGTGTGTGTGTGTGTGTGTGTGTGTGTCTGTTGTGTGTGT